ATTTTTCGGATTTTATTTTCTGATACAAAAAAGAAAACAATGATGCTTTGCCTTCTTCCAGTAGCCTATCTTAAAAAAGATAAATGAAATTCAGATCTTAACTAAGCCAAATGTTTGTTTTACATATTTAAAATTCTTTTAGCTACACAAGAGCCATACTGGGTTCACAATTAATCATTGTGGCCGGGGTGGGGGGGGAACGTCAAGAGAAAGAATAGTTTGTTTCTTTTCTTTTGCAAGGTCACTAAAAAGTAACTTAGGGACTTCCCTGGTGGCTCAGTGGTTGGGAATCTGCCTGCCAGGACACAGGGTCGATCCCTGGTCCAGGAAGATCACACGTGCCACGGAGCAACTAAGCCTGTGCGTCACAACTACTGAGCCCGTGAGACGCAACTGCTGAGGCTCACACGCCTGGAGCCCGTGCTCTGTGACAAGAGAAGCCACCGCGATGAGAAGCCCACATACTGCAGTGAAGAGTAGCCCCTGCTCACCGAGAAAGCCGGCGAGCAGCAACAAAGACCCAACGCAGCCAAAAAAACCCCAAGTAATTTAGTTTTGTACCTGTAAAAGTAATTCTAAATTATACGTACCAGAGAAGTGAGATTTTTAAAAAACTTTTAAAAACAAGATGAGAAATAAATAAAATACAAGTGGAGGGTAATGACAAAGCACAAAAAAAGGTAACATATACATGTGATTAATTTCAACTGCTTCCGGAAAAAATGTTGCTTAAAACAAGCAGCACTGATTCTCATCAATTTCATCTTTTTTTCAAATCAGGTATTTTATTAGGGAGCACAGAAATAACCAATGTGTTAGACTTATGATGGATGAAGAAAGGAAAATCAAACTGCAATTAAGAGCACAAGTTCACTGATAAATCTGTCTCTTAACAGTGTGATAATGGATGTCCTAATTTTATAGTATACAGAGATATGTTGTGAAAATTAAGACTTTTTAACCTAAAAGATTCAGTTCTATATGATTACACATGTCAAAGACCACTGAATGATTAGCCTTTAAAAAGTTTTACTTACTCTTGTAATGCCCATTCAATAAGATTGGAAAATTTTATCTCAATTCCTGTAATGTATATAAATGCTGCTTATCACATGGAGATTCTTTCGAAATGAAGATACTTAATGAGCATGAAACATTATATTGTCTCAAAAAGCACTCAACTTTTCAAACCTTAACAGAGAAGTCTTTTTGATTTCTAGGAAGATCTCAATCATTCCACAAACATAATGAATCTCGTAAACTATAGGGTCACTTTACTGTATAAGCCATGGGTCATTACAAATATGCAACACAAACAAGAAACTGCACATTTCACTCAACTAAACAGATCCTAACTGAGAAATAAAGCTACTTAAAATGCCTTATATTCAGTCATTTAAAAATTATATCAGGAAACACTTAAATATTTGGAACTCATTTTCCCTACTCTTCTATCCAGTGAGTTGGACTAATCTTAAATAACAAAAAAAGCAATGAACTAAAAATAAATACTTCAACTAAACACCATAGGTCTGGAAAAACAAACAAACACACTGCAGTAGTGATGTTGGACCTTCTGAGATTTTAACCACCTTTTCATCTGAGACATTTAATCACTTAAAACTAAACTGAGTTTACAACTAAGTATAAAGACACTTTTTTCAGTCCCTTAACTGCCATGAATTCCATTTCGGGTAATTATCCTAGATCAACTTCTAAGCTATAAACTCCCTAAGGGAAGAAGCACATGTTACCGGTCTCTGTATCAGCAGTACTGAGCTGCTGTACATGCCACACGATAGGGGTTCAAACCTGGCAAAAGGAACAAATAATTAAGACTTCCATCTAACTTTCCTGATGTTAGAAATGATTAAGTGGTTGCCTTTGCAACAAAGCCCATTCAGATTGCAGTGCATGCTGGATCAAGATTTCTGCATTTTAGCTAAAGTCCCCGGAGAGCAGCACCCAGTAGCATGGGGCAGAAAGAGGTGTCAGCTTCCTCTCCCAGCAAAGAAGCGACTTGGTTCAGGTTGCAATGAGGCAGCACCCACTTCCACGCTTCAGGAAGTTATCTGAGGAAAGGCAGAGAAGAGGGTTTCCAGAGGCGCCCACAGGCAGGTGAGATAAATCACAAACAGCATTGTCAACCTCATTTGCAGGGAAAGTCACATTTTAAAAATAACTCACTCTTAATAAGAGCGGGGAGGGAATATTCCCTTGTTGAGATCACTAAGTTGCCAATATGAGCTAAGTAAAACAAAAGGTAGCATGAAAAAAAAAAAGGTAGCATGAAATACCTCACTGAAGTTATGTGATTTCTGTTGCCTACTCTAATCATTCCAAAATAGCTCCTGACTCACTGCTCTCCTTAGGAGATACTACTTGGAGGACTGGGGGGTCACACCTAACAAGGGCTCCTCGCTGGGGCCTGGAAGTTTTCCTAGACTTTACCTCACATACCTGCTCCCATTTTTAGGGGTTCTGATACACCTATTTCACAAACCAATACTTCAACCACCTTCACTGTAATTAAAAACAGCTGAGGCAGCATCCAGGATACTTTGAAAGATTCTGCCAACTGTCAGTTTCAGCTGTTCTTTTTCATTTCCACCATAGTTCACAAACTACTATCACAGGAGCCTTAGATTTGTTTTTTACCTGAACTAATCATTCATTTTCTTTCAAAATCATTTCTTTTGTTTTGATTTTTTCCCTAGACTTGCAATTATATCCAAAACTAAGGCAGAGATAAATTTTTATTATAACCTAACGTTAGTCAAAAATATATTCATAAAACATGAAACTCTCCACCCACAATATTAAATTTTAGATACAGATACCTGTCAGAGTAAGGTAATTTAGGATTGCCTAGGTAAAACTTTAAAGGCCATTTAAAGCTCTGTTCCCTTTTGTTTTAAGTAGGTGCAGGAGGCTGTGCTTATTCCACAAACACTTATTAGGTACAAACACCTACTAAGTGGAAACTTCCACAAATGCCTTCTCTTGACAACTTAGATGAAACTATTACTGAGAGTCGCAGCCCCAAATGCAGACTTTCAGAAAAATTATGCCATAAACATTCACTCCTTTGCCTCTCCAGTCCACCTTTAAGACTTTATTAAGGACTAATAAATTAGTTTATAAACACATTTAATTACACTGAAGTATCTAAAATCTGGGCTATGTGCAGGGGCTTATTTTCATGTTTTAAAGACCAATCCCCTTCGTATTAAGTTCATCTCAAGTTTCCCTTGGTAAAACCATGGACATTCATGCAGCTTAAATGTTGTGGAAAACCATGAATTTTCTTTCATGATGCTACCACTCCGCAGCTTAGAGAGAATGCAGCCTTCAACATGAAAAACTGCCACTTGATTTTTCTTCTCTGACACGTTTTAAACAGAAGAGCTGCGGACTCTCAAGGGAAGCCATATTTCAAAGGTTTTGAATAGTAGTATTTTTCAGTATTTTCTCTCATTAAAATTGGTACAATTCATCCAAAACATTTTTCAAATGCCATTATTTTCCAGCTTACATGCTTAAAAACTGCTTAAAGAAAATCTCTCCATCTGAGAGATTTACTTCAAGAAACCAACAGCAATTATGAAAACTGAAGGAGGAGAAAAAGAAATAATTCACTTTTACAGGCTGGAAAAAATTTTTAAACTCACCTAAGACCTTCATTTTACAGATTAAAAAAACAAGAGTCCACAAAGGTCAAGCAATTTGCCTCACATCACCAAGCTACTAGTAGCAGCGCTAGAAATAGAATGAGGTATTTTAATTGCTGTTAGCAGTATCCCAAATCATGCAAGTTATATATATTCTCATCGCTTTTTCATTTAAGTTTTAAAAACAAGTATCGCTCTTTCTCATCAGTTCCTGATGGACTCCTACAACGTACGTTCTACATCTTCAAACTTAAGTTAATGAACTTCAAGTTCTAATTCCAACAAAAAAGGGTAGTACTAGTAAGAACTTTCCTCTGAACGTTTTAAGAATGAAAGTTTAGGTGTGCACACCCCTAAACTGTCACAACGAATTTCACTGTCTGTCCTTTCAATCTCTGTCCTTTAACTACACTTTAGATGTGTTTATTCAACTACAAAAAAGAGAGAGAAAATTCTAGAAGTTCCTCTTTGACAAAAAATCACTGAAAATCTGTCAATGAAACTAGATCATTACTTCATTAATATATTATGGAAGTCTGGCTTAAATTAGGAAGAGTCACTAGCATTTTATTGTGTTACTGTGTGAAAAGTTAACAAAAGGTTGGAAAATGGCACTCTTGGTTGACTTTGGATCTGAAAGAAGGTATACATCTGACATTGTTAACACAAACTGAAGACTTGATCACAAAAGCAAAAAAAAAACCCAGAGAAAGTGAGTAAGTTCCTTTAACAAAAAGCTGTTTCCTATTCAGGCTCTGATCTTTATTAAATGCAGGGCACTGTGGACTCCTAAGACTTTCAGATTTTCGTTTTAAATGCCCCAATAGAGCAATTCTGTAGATTTTAGCTTCAGCTATTCAAGGGCAAAAAGGAGGGCACAGTAAGGACAATTTACACTGGATCATTTTCAAGGACTGTAGTCTAACCACTCGTTACTTTACAATTGTCCTTTGTGCACCTGATTATTCTCAAAGTACTGAGAGAACGCAGGACTTCTTTTTGAAGATACAGGCAACAAAACCTAAGACAACACGACTTTGATTATAAACTGCTGCGGCACTTCGACCAGGGAAGGGCAGTACGTGTGGTCTGCCACTAATAAAGCTACATTCTGGTTACAATAATAGACGTATGTTCCTTAATTACGGCCTCCGGTGTTACTCCACAAAAATAACTTCTTAAAAGGTTAATACACCTATATTTTTAAAGTACGACCAGCTTAGCAAGGTGGCAAATTTGTTTGAAAACATAAAACACAATTCACCACCACCGCTCAGTAACACACATACATAAACAGACTCGAAGCGGGGTTAAGCACAAAATCCTTACCCCATTTTGCCCAGTGAAAACTTGCTCGGAAGTTTCTGCTCTTATGCTACGGAATAACTCCAAAGGAATTTCTCCGTCCGTTATTTCGCAGTTGCTTTTCCACCCCCCGAGATCCTTTTGTGGAGGTATTTCAGCGATGCTGAAAATTCAGTTAGTTCCCTTAGGTAAAATGATTTCTCGCTGGGAAATACCAAAATGTTCAAACAGAGGTGGCATTTGCTTATTAGAGTTAAAATGCTGCGCGGAGGAGACGGCGGTCAACTCTATTCCACAAAATGAGTCTATGAATCGGGAAATGCAGAATCCAGCTTCACGGAGTCCTATAAAAAATGAGTTCAGTGGTCATTTCTCTCCTGTCCTCCACACTCAGGGAGAGCCCAGGTAACTCGGCCTTTTCGGTGCTACTAAGGCTGCGGGTTCAAATTTCTCCACCACACCAGGTCCCTGGGGGTGGAGCATGCAACCCAATGCGACGTGCACTTGAGAGATCCCTACGAGAAAATAAAAATCCTAAGCGCAGTAATGTCACTGCTTCCCTGCGCTCACATTAGAAAAAGCTATGTAGAAAAATCTCTTCCGAGTGCAAACCCAGCGGCTCGCGACGTGCACGGCACTCCACATTGGAATCCGTCTTTTAATTTTTTTCCCCCTCCTAAGACTGGGAGCAGAGAGGAGGCGGGGAGGAGGAAGAGAAGGCTGGGCGGGATCGATTCATTCTCCCGAAGAGAACACACGGAGCCATTTCCAGGCTAGCAGCAGGCTGGGGGCGCAGCGCACGCCGGGGAGCAGGGGGAGGGGGCCGGATCCCACCTCCCTCAGCCCCTGCCCGCCCCCCGCCGCCGAGCACAATGGAGCCCGGCTCGCGCCCGGCCCTTCATTCCACGCTGCCCCCCGGCACCCTGCCCCCAGCTCCGGGACGGGCCGAGCAGCGGCGAAGGACGGGGCTGAAGGGTCGACGGGAGCCCGCCCGAGCCGAGGCGGGCGGCAAATCCCGCGTCGGGACCAGGGGAAAGGGGCTCGAAGCCGCAGAACAGCCGCTGCTCCAGCGCCCCCACCCCTGCTCCTTGCCTCTCCCGCTCCGCGCCGCCGCCACGCGCCGCAGACACACGCCGCCTCACAGTTCTCGGGCCCCGCCGCCGCCTTCTCACACTTCCATCACCGCCCGCCTTCGCCGGCCTCCAGCTCCTGCTCGGCGGAGCAGCGCTGGCCGGGCGGCCCCACCCGCCGCTGCCTCCGCCTCTACCGGCCGCTCACAGAGCGGAGGGCGCCGCTTCCCAGGTCAGCGCCGCCCGCACGAGGCGAGCGCGGCAGCGGAGCTGGCTGCGAGGGGCGGGAGAGGGGGCGGGGAGAATCGGGAGCAGTGCGGTTCCTCCCCCTGCTCGCGGGAGGGGGCGGCCGGGCACCAGGGACTGGGGCGCCGACCCGTCCCGAGGGCCCGGCGGGGCCCTGAGGGTAGCGGGGGGAGGCGGCAGCTGCGAGGGCGGCGGGGACGCTGGTGGTCACGGGCCGAGCCGGCCCTCGTGGGGAGCTAGGCCGGGCGGCAGGTCCGGCGTTCCGTCCTTCCTTTCCCCCCTCCCCTAGTGGTCGGCGGCGCGCGGGCCGTGCGCTCTGCTCCTCTGCTGGCTCCTGGCCTCGCTCCCTGCCGCCACAGCCTCCTCCGCGCCCCACACCGGGTGCTCTCGCTGAGTCTCCATCCTCCCCGCAGGAGGACCTTTAAATAGCAACGTCAGCGCGCTCCTCTCCGCACACACGTCACCCGCCGTTCACGTCACCGGGGTGCGGGGGATGATGTCACGCGGCCGGAAGTACTGCTAAATTAGGGAAGGAGCAGGGGGAGGAGGACTCGGCGAGCTCCTCTGTGCCCACCTGCTCTCGCTTCTCCTTAAAGGCCAAAGCGCAGGAGACAGCCAAGAGGAGCGGCGGGAGGAGGAGATTTCCTTGCAACAAATGTGCCAAACACAAGTGAATCATTCATAGCAACAGTGCCGAAGTGTCAAGCGGGTGATAGCCTATCTCCCACTCCCACCCCTGTTGCAGCAGCTTTCCCGGGTTTCTCAAGTCCCCACTAGCACGGAAATGTGGGAGGAGAGACTGAGCACAGTGGTAGATATGTTTCCCGCAAGACTTGGGGAAAAGCACCTTAATTTTCGAAAGTTATTAAATGCCATTCTGGATTTAGTAGTCTTTAAAACTTTTTTTCTTTCTTAGTGGCTACCTAAATCACTAAAGAATAAAGAGCAGAGCCATGAACACTATCTTAATGATATGAAGGATAATAATGGGGTGGGAGGCGTCAAATGATCTAAACGTTTTCATTTGCAAAACAGCAATGTTTTGGCATAGGATAATGAGTCAATCTTGACTTTGTTCCCTTATAATTATCGTCATGTACAACACATAGCAAATCCCAGTGTACCCTCTCAGTTCTGGTTTTATCAAGAATATGAGTTTCAGTCTATGGAAATTGAAAATAAGAAAGACTACCTTTTTATTTAAGTATTAATAGAAGCACAGACTAATTTTGTCTTCCTTAGTTTTGACCGTATAACGTATAACACAATATCTCTTAAGTATGCTGTTTTTCATTTCCTATATGGCAACGATGAGGAGCCATCTATCTATAGGTTTACTAGCTATGTGTGTGTGTCTGTAGTAAATCATGCTATGAATGCTCTTCAAATTCCAAATTACTACAGAGTTTTTTAAATGTCTCCGTTATTTCATAGTTTATTATTAGGTCAACTCAAATAATGAACTTTGATTTGATCTGATTTAGCATGATAATCATGGCCCCAAAACAGAGCTACTACAAAATGCCAAAGGCTATTGCTATTTCAGAGTTAGTCTATAAGCTCAGTGACCATGTTTTCCAAACCAAAATCCAAACACATCATTTAACAATAGACAGAATATTTGGAATCTGAAGTGACCTGGGAAATTCAGGACATAGGATTGCCAACCTATTCAGTGATTGTTAGGAGAGCTGAAAATGGATATCAGTGCAGTTTAAATAAAAGGAGCTAAAACTCTACGGAATTTATATCATATGTATTTTTAATGTTTTGAATATTAAACTACTCACATGATTCCTAATTAAGGAACATTGGTGTTTACTTCTTTCTGCATTTACGCTTTCTTGATCAAGTTAGGAGCCCAGGACTAAAGAACACCAGCCAAAAGAATTAGGATCAAGTTGCAACTAAATCAGGCTTTCTGTTATCTTCACATTATAAAATCATGATCTTGCTTATAGTTTGAAATATTGAAACTAGTCTTTAATAAGGTTATAACAAAAGTTGATCAAAAGCAAACCCCTGCTTGCCAATTTGTCTAATATATATCATATTAATAGAAATTGTACTAATTTATATATCAGAGAAATGGAGCTTCTTAAGTGTGTATAAAATATTAAAGCAATAGAGCTATCATTCTTCAAATAAAGTCAACTCTTGGCCCTTGCAAATTAAAATACAAATTATTACTCTACTCACATTTCTCTACAAGCCATTTCCTATCTAAACTAAATCACTTTTCTCTCTTTTGTGCTCTTGCCATTGATGTTAATTAAAGGTCTCAATTTACCATTTTCAAACACTTCATTCTACCCTTTTATCATGACTTCCTCTGGTTTACAATCTTTTTTCCCCTCATCTTTACTCAGCTGTCAAAACAGTATGTTATCTGCCTCCCTGCTTTTGCAATGTTGACCCGTCATTAGCGTTTCTGCTTTTCAAACCTACATGGTCCCTTCTCAACTGCTCTTTTGGTCAACTGAAAATTGAGAACAACTTTTTTTTCCTATATAAATCTCAGGGTGCACTATGATATAATTACTCGAAGTTTGTGTGATTATTTTTTATTTTAACCTCTGCACTTAATCTAGAAAATTCTACCAATAATTGGTCAATTTTTCTTTCTAACTTATGTGGGATTAGCATATAAGGTAATACATGCATTCATGTACCCAAAGGAATAAGTAAAACTTTGTAACATTTTATGTATCATGGTATGTCTGCTCAGAAAATATAATAATAAATTGTCTTTCTCCTCCCTTGAAACAATTCCAGTACCATTTTGAGAGGAGTCAGAGAACCATTCTATATGGCTTTCCATCTAAAAGTAAATATTTTCTCTCCTAAAACTGAGCTGATGTAACCCAAATGCTAGTCATGAATTTCCCATCCTGATTGTTTTGTTTTTTAAAGTAGTGAGCTTCCTAGAAAGCAATATATTTTCTTTTACCGGAAGAGGCAGAAAGTACTTTAGTAGAGTTTCAAATTTTTAACAGTTCCTTTTTCCCACTATGCTCTGAAAATTTGTGGCAACGTTTATGAATACCCACTGATTTTAGAATCTGTGGGTGGAGGCATCTGTTTTAGTTACAGAGTTTACTTCCATGCCCTCAATAGGGGATGGTGCTGTTCAATGGGATGTTCATAGATAGGTCATGAGATATGTCTTTTTCAATGAAAAGATATCTAGGTGATAGAAAAACCTTCCATGAAAGAGGGTTAAAGCCAGATTTTATTTTTAATTGCTTAACGTTAGATAATAGCAACTCCCCTTCCACGTTCTCTCTTTTTCATTACCAAAATACCACTATTGCTTCAAATAAAGTCATAGGTAGAAACAATAGATTAAAAGATATCTCTCCATATCACAGAAATCTCTAGATTCCTCACTTCTGTGACATAGTTATGAAGAAACTAAATAATCAGCAAAGATTAAAAGTAATAATAATAAAAGGCTTTTTGAAAAGTTGTAGGGAAATAGAATTTATCCAGTTGATGCTCCGAAGTTATTCCATCTCCTCCATAAATGGAGCAGGTACTGGGTGCCAGTAATTTGTTTGGCTTGTTTAAAACCATCTTTTACTATTATCAGTAAGGTTCTGAATAGAAACAGGGTAGTTAACAGTCTCAGGGGTGAAAGTCTAAGCATTTGGCACCTCCAAGGCAATGGCTTGAGGACAACTTTTACCCTTCTGAGTATCTGCACTGTTTTATCAGAGGGCTTGGGAGTGGTAGAGGAAGGGAAGTCAGAGAATTATCCCTAGGACAGATATGACATAAAGCCCATGGGCAGTGATCTCATAGAACTTTCTCCTGCTCTGATTTTTACTGTAAATTCATTATTTGTTTTCTAAACATGGTTAAAGAGATACAACTAGAATCCCAGACTTGTGAAAGGACATACCAGAAAGTTTTCAATTGGTACTGTGAGAAAATCATTGTACAACGGTTTATGTAAATTTTTTAAATATTCAGAAGAGAAGGGGATATGGTGCCTTCGAAAAAATTATCTGGCTTAACTCCAAGTTGTTTGTTTGTTTGGTTGATTGATTGTTCTAAACAGCAGTTACAGAGTACAAAAAATTCAGAGTACAGGCTGG